GTTGACAGAGATAGTAGAGGAGACAAAGCTGATGTCACAACACAGTTTTTTCAGGATGGAAATATACTTAAAAACAGAAAGAAAGTGCTTTTTGTTTTTAATCTACTGCTTTATTTTAATGTAAGCCTACTGTATTAAATCTAAGGTCACAGCAGTATGCCATTGCAAGAAAGCCTCCATTGAAAAAGTATTTCATATGTATACTGACAAAACCAATCCTTAACTAATGAAATGTATTTTCATCACCCCAATAAAGAGGTACATAAAACATGTGGGGAAGAGTCATTAAAACATCAAGAATTATTGTTATTTTGACAATATAGACAATAGCAGGACCACAAATGTGCAATGTTAGCAACTGCTTTCAGCAAGAAATACATTCCCTGAACTCAGCTGGGTCCACAGTAATTCTTTCCAAAAAAATTAGAAAGGTGTATAGGAAGTAATACCATACTCACAATTTAAAGATCAAGAATTTTGCCAACAATTTGCATAGTTAGAGAGTATATCGGTTTATATAATCTTATGACAGCGAGTACTCCTTTGGTGCAATACTCAAGGTGACAGAACTAGGCATGAGTTGTTCAAGAGGTCTTCCCAGTTTCTTTAAACTTTGTGAAAAAATTGAGCTACCTTTTATATAGAGAGAGTTTAAATACAGTATCCAGAGATGACCTCTGATTTGTGTTTCAATTTCTGCAGTAAATTTACAATACGTTTAGTGATAGTATTTTGCTAAAAAGTTACTCTTATTAAGAAGCAGAAAGAAATACCAAACATTTACACATCAGGACTGATTAAACAAACCACTGTCTAATGAGCTGCTGAACCCCAAAGAATGGGGAACTGTAGAAATATCAGACATTAATTTCTTTTTTATTCAGTAGCATTTCTGAAAGCTTCATGGAGAATGCAGAGCTCTTTTTAAACTTCTTTAAAGAGGTGAGAAATTTATATAAAGATATATTAGATTGAGAGTTCTTCATTACTTTCTTCTCTCCCTTTTTCAGCTCAATTCCACCCACTTCTCCCTCTCCCTCCCATTTGTACGCTTAGGAGCTTGGTTAATTTCTTTTGCTACTTCAGCTAATGCCTAATGTAAAGTTAAAAAAGGTGCTGAAATTAAACAATACAAACACAGGGAAAGAACCTCTTCGTAGCTGAGGCTCAGCTACAAGTAGCATCAATTTTCTGTTGCTTTAAAATGCAAACACAACAAAAGACCCAGTGAAGTGAAACAGGGAACAGGAGACAATACGGGAACGCACTGATTAGAGAGAAAGAAAACAGTGAGAAGTCCAGAGGTATCGCTACAGTCTAGTTTCCTATTTCACTTTTATAACAGAACAGACCACAACAATCATTAAACAAACCATTGAAGGGCCGAGCCTTATCTCAAACAACACACTGTGTACTGCATTCTTCAAACTGTTACAGTTCATTTTATAGGCGAGATCCATAATAGCTAATTACAGATTGCTCTGCTTGAATCTGCATCTTTTGCTTGTAAGCCTTCGCACATAGAAGGGAAAGTGCAGTCACTCTTCCATGCGCTGCTATCTTATTTTATATTTCTGCATGCACCTGCTGCAAATCTGTTTTTTTCTATGACATTTTAATCACTTTTGTGTTTGAACATCAGCTCTCAAAGTGCTTCGATTATTATTTTTGTTTCCTCAAAGTGGTAGTGACAAATGATTAACTGGTATAGTAATCTTTCCACATGAAAGATTTCCCATTTCTAATTCCACAGAAATAGGGCTACATTTAGTACAATGTTTATTTCAAAACAGATTTAAAATACAGCCAGAAGTACATCCTGCAAGAAAACCCACACCTGCATTTTTATTATTAGACACAAAAGCAGTCCTATTAAATTCAGTGAGAATATGCACCTACATTTACAAAAAGAGAATAATTTTTACATAAACAAGCAAGGCACTGAAATTCAATTTAAAGGGTGCTTTGGGCCTAGAAGCCTAAAGCCCTTTGTCATAAGGGCTGAAAGATGGCATTTTCTTTCCATGACCTAATGGCAAGTGAGGAAACAAACTTAGTCTCATTCTTTTTTTAAGCCACAACGATGCCACGTGTTTGCCTGTCAGTAACACAGTAGGTACCCCACACTTAAGCTAGATTTACGCTACCTGTCAAAAGGAAATATTTTTCATACTGTCAACTAAAAGTCACTTTCCAGTTGCATGTCTCCAATTAACTGAGTAATATTTACACATGTATTTATGACTTTCAAAAATTAATGTTTATTCTAGAGTCACCTTTCTGTGGTTTATGGATAAGCAAATTCATCTACTGCAATAAATATATAATTGACCAGGAAATAGTTCTATGAATCCCAAATCCAAGCATCCTTAGATCAAGTGTTTTATATTATGCTTCCACTTCTGAAAACTGTCTTCATGCTTCTGTTCCTCTGATAGAGTATGAATTGCTTTTAAGACCTGAAACTAGAGATATTTGCACTTAATTTGACTTTTCCGTACTAATTTGTTTTCATAGCTGGTGCTTTTTTTTTTTTTATTAAGTACTTGGGTTTAGACTTGCATATGGTTGCTTATTTCCTTATCAAAAAATCTGGAGCAATCATACTGTATATATGATGGCTGTAAGGAAATAAAACGCTCCACAACTGGGGACGTCAGAACAAGCTAATTAATCCTAGATTCTCTCAGGCACAGCATAACTTTCAAATCTGAATTAAAAACACACAGAGACACAGATCTGAAATGACGAAACACTTTCATTATCCAGAAAAATAGTACGTGGCTTTGCACACAGAGATACATCTATTGCACAATTCTAAATTTGATCCTTAATTCTATGCCCACATGGTCTAACATGCAGCAGGTCCTACTAACATGTGTAACCAGCTCATAAATATTTGTTCCCTAGGACTTTGAAATGAAGAATGAAAAATAAGCATTTGTCTAAATAATTCATGGAAGTTGACTGGTCTTCAGCATGCAACAACATGGGTACCCAGTGAAACGCAGCACAGCAGTTTGCTTTTCAACTGCCTCAAATGCAAGCAGAATGCACAACCCCAATGTAAAACAAGCATTAGAATATTTTTCATTTAAAAATATTTGAGACTGTTACCTGAATGCCAATACTCCAACTGACGTTACAAAACACAGGGTTTTCACTAACTTTTTGCCAAACCCTTATACCTATAGGCTGATCTGGCATTGTTTCAGGCCTGCATACAAAGTACGCATTTCTAAGTGAACAGTTCTCAGGCTCTACAACATTTGGGCACCTATACTTCAAAGAGACACAATTCAATTTGGAGCCTCAGCCTACCAAAAATTTTATCCATTTTTGCATTTAATGCAATTTATCCAGTTTTGAATCTAAACCCAAAGGCTTAAAAGAAACAATGACTTCCATTTTCTTCTCTTCTAGCAGACATTCAATTCAAACCATATATGGGGACATGTTTTGTACCATCCCATCACTCATGACCTAGAGCAATCTAGGGAGATTTCAAAATAGTTACAACCAAAAATTAAGGAAATAAAAGAGAAATATATAAGCTACTAAAAGACTAGGGTGTTTAATTTAGTAAGGTTCTTCGGTTGATATACATTACCTACATCCTAAGGTCTCCCACAAGTAGTTCACAGAAAAAAAAAATCTCAGCTGCTACACAAGTTGGACTTAAAAATGATAGAGCACCTTATTATTTGAAACACAATGAGAAATTACTAAATCATTCCCAAATCCAAACAGGATAATGAAAACTCCTAGCACCAAACCTTCTTTCTCTTAAAGAAAGCCTGCAGGGTTGTGGTAAATTAAAGTTTAAAAAAAGCTATGCAAAGGAAACTTCTAGATCTGGTTTTGCTGCTCCGTTGTTCTTGTCGAAGGCTTGAGGAAATTTATGACTTCCTCCTCCTGCTTGTACCACTAAGAAATCTTCCAGAATACAAGTCTCCTAAATCCTCTGCCTACAAATATATGTACATTTAGGTGATTCAGCTGAAAACGCAAGTCCTTTTGTTTGGGGGCAGGGAAGACTCCCCCCAAACCCACTTTTTTTTAAAAAATGCCCTTCTAAAGTGACTATAAAAAGTACATTTGTGCTTCTTTGCTATTTATAGTGTATAGGAAGAAGGCCTGAAATGGCAGCAGGCACTTCTGCATGTTTTGTACCTCAGAAATATAAGTATGCCAAGAATTTTCATCTGTGGTTTCACTGCAGAAATCCTCAGATTTCTAGGAATAGGAGGGCTAAAATTGTCTCATTCCTCTGCTAGAGGACATACTGTCACACATCTCCTATGGTAAATAATAAGCATTTGTCAGGAGTTTGAATTAAACAATGACAGAAGATTTTTTTTTTAAAAGGCATTTGAATAAAAATCTTTTACAATTCTCAATTTTTTAGAATAATCTGATAACATGGAGATAACAGTTTAGTATAAAAGGCATGTGGAAAATCTTCTTTTAAAAGGACAAAACCCAACAAAATAAAAAATACAGGCCTATTTCAGATCATTTTTATGTACCACAAAGCAGTAATAAAGATCAAAACAGATCTTTTCTTCCAATGCAGATCATCATTTGACTGTTAGAGAAGGTGCTGCTGAAATGGAAAGGCTGGTATTTCATATAAATAATATTTTTAAATTTGCACTTTACAGCTATTCCACTTGTATGGTGGAGTGAGTAATATAATTCTCAACAGGCAAGTACTCCCACACATTGTCTCCATGTGAAAATCTTGAGGCTATCAACCACCAGCTGCCCCAAGACATTAGCTAAAAACTAAAGCCTTGTGTCACAGCCAAGTGAACTTTTCTTTAGGTCAACATGAAGATTTACTGGCACTCAGAACAGTATACACCAGCTTCAAGGTAAAAAGAGTTTGACGCAAATATCTGAGATAGCCCTATCAGCTCCATATTTCAGCTCCTCCCACCTGAATTGGCTTCTCTTGTCTAAGTCAACTAATGCACAATTCAATAGCCTTGACTTACTGTGAGATGTGAGTTATTGGGGTCAACAGTGTCTCACCCTCCAGGTCAAGCTCATCGGCAAAGCTGTTGGTCCTGATGAAGGGTCCTGTGTTCACATCTAAAAACGTTGGGCTTTTTTTCACTGTGAGGAAACACGCAGATAACAGTTAAAGCAATAGCATTCGGCTTTTTCAAGAAAGGTCTACCACTCATTTGGATCTCTGAAATACTGTACATTTTAACAGAATATTGAAAACAGAAGATACTATTAAAAAATTGCATATACCACAGAGTTCATGAAAAGTAAAACTTTAATTCTTCTTCTACCCAAAGAATTTCAACTTCTGCTGAAGACTTAAAGCTAGGGGGTTTTTTTCTTTTTTTTTTTGTTCATATGCCTTATACACTAGAATGTAGGGTATCTATATCACAGGCAGCTTCATGCATTATAAAACTTATTGTACAATACTCAGCCATACCATGGACCACTGCTCTACAACAACAGCATATGAGTGCAATGCAATGACAAGATCAATTTCTTTTTATATCATCTCTACTTCATGTTTTAGTTTATAATACCAGCTTCTGGGGTGTAATTACTATGACTAAGATCAAGAAACCAGGCCTAGATCAACAAAGGAACCTAGGCATTTTCACGGTGAGCAGTCACGTCCTGCCACGCGCTGTCTGAGCCAGCCTGCTGGCTCCCAATCCCTCTCACACTTAGGCACAAGGATGCCTCATCTTTGAGCCCAGGCACGAGGCAGGTGGCAAGATGTTCAGTTCATCCAAGATGAAGCCCTTAGTGAGAAGGCCATTTCACAAAACTTCAGATATTGAAAGTTTTCAGTGGCAAAGTTACTTGTATACCAACTTTCATGCACCCAAGAAATTAGGCAGAATATTACACATTTCATTTTTAAACTCAGGCTCCTAAATTCTGCCAGACTCTAACATTAAGAGCCCTAAGTGCTTTCTCCAGCATGGTCCTAACATTTGGTAGAGAAGCCACAAAATTTGCATATAAATAAATCCACTATTGTATTTATACATGATTGTAAATTAATTTTATAGAGAATAAAAACCACCAGTAAAATTCTGTAGAAATCATAGGTAGATTCTGACACCGCCATAGAAATCTTTATCTGTGTAACTGGCTGGATCATTCAATGAAATAATTATAATGTTGTAATTTATGAAGTCCCTACTGTATTAAATAAAATACTTTATAATATAACAGTAAATAATGTCCTGCCAAAATGCAACATGAAAGCTAAAGGAATACAGCAGAAATAGCTAACTTAAATGTAGCTGAATTTAATGAGAATGGAAGTGGGGATATCAGGAAACAATTTTTTTAAAAAAATGCAACCATTTTACTCAAGTAAGTAGATCACTTCATATGGCAGAAATGGATTTGAACTTTTACAAATAATCAGAAGAGAAAATGTTATTATATCATCAGGCACATGGCCATTCAAAATTACAATGGGAAAGACCGCTCTCCAGAAATTATAATAGGAGAGGAAGACCTCTGAAATCAGTAAAAAAAAAAAAGACAGACAAATGCTAGGTGATAAAATTATTAAAAGCAGGAGCCACTTGCAGCATTTAAAAATGAAAATGAAAATTCTACAGTAAGTTTTAGCTAATGCTAGCTTCCTATTTTCCTATTTTTGGTTTTATTGTCACATTATTTAATCACTTTGCTGTAGTCATCATCCAAGATAGTGGCTGTAAAACAAGCAAAATAATTCCGGATTCAGAGATGCAGTAAAATGTCTTTAAAACAGATTCCTTTTGGCTTTCACTAAATTAATTTTCACTGCTTTCATTTCTACATGATACAAATGAAACTTTCCCAGTTTCTAAGAAAGGACTCACAGCCTTTTTAGTTTTCCTGATGACAAGTGATAAAACTGCTGAACCTAAAACCATCTAGAGTGTTTGCTGAACACTCACCAAACTGTGCTTATGAGAGACACAATACACACAGTAAACAAGTGTATTTGCAGAAATTGCTATTCTTGGATCATTCACGGTTACTGGTTTTTAGTTTCATGGGAGGGGAGAGAAGGAGTGGCACAATGAAAAAGGAACAAGAAGTCAAGACTGTACCTCAGCCTCTTTGAAAGTGCTGTTATCTGAGAACACAGAGATGAAGAGCTGCTTAATATGAGGCAAACATGGTATCTCCCTCCCTCTTTTTATTTTAAAATTTTCCAAGTAGATCATAACCAAGATCAGTCTGTTCTGGTGACCGATGCAGCTCTCTGCTCTTTATGCTCTCATTCTTAAATGCATGTTGCTGCTTCCAACATGAAGGAGGAACCACTCCAAAACACTACCATGCAACCTGCTTGCACAGAGAGAGAAGGGACCAAGAAAAGAACATGGCCTTAATGAGAGCTTCCCTGCCACAAAGTGCCTTGAAACAAGGCTCAAGTAGAACACCAGGGAGCATATGCTGCCTCAGCACTTTTTTTATTTATAAAAATAAATTCATAGGCATTTGACTTTGGAGGAGCCTTTCTTACAAAGGAGTGTTAAAAAAAAGTACATTAAAAAAAAGACACTAAATTTCTAAATAAGTAAGCTAAAGGAAAGAAAGGAAGCTTTAGAAACTCATTTTCAATGGATAATAATGAGTGAAAAGAAACAGGCAACAGGTGTAACAAGGGATATTTACTATAATTCAGGGGTCCCCAAGCTTTATTTTCTCTATTTTTGATGGGTAGCAGCAGCAACTATGGTAACAGCCATGACTATCCAACTGATAAGGCTGAGCCAAGTACTACTTTGAAATGGCAGAAAATACACTCCCCACAATACGAGAGCCCCTGCTTTAAAACAGAAACTCTGAACTTTCTGGTAACATTCCAGGTCAGGCTGGACGGGGCTCTGAGCAACCTGATCAAGTTGAAGATGTCCCTGCTCATTGCAGGGGGGGTGGACTAAATGACTTTTAAAGGTCCCTTCCAACCCAAACCATTCTATGATTCTATGAACTTTCAATCGAGGATTATAAACACAATAACAAGAAATTACTGATAGGTTTTCTATATAACCAACACAACAATTTTATATACAGTATGACATGTATGCAGATGCTTTTCTGGTAGTGGGGTATTTGGCTAGTAAGACAGAAAATATTTTGCAGTTCCTCTGTTGCAAGCACAGACAAAAAATTTAAAACACTTTAAAGCACTTTTCATGGAAAATCTGAGTTTTAATTAATGCATTTAGAAAATAAGTCTGTTCTGCAAAAAAATTCTTTTTTTCATTTAACCACTGGCAATTTACAAGCTGAACAACTTTCCAAACTCAAAATTCTACTGATATGCCTACGCTTTCTTTAAAAACCAGCACTATAATTTTCTATGCCACAGCAGGCAACTCCAGACAGAGCATTGCAAAGATTTAGTAGTTAACAAAGGTGATGGAGCAATGAAATATTATGAGCTTTACCTGGAGAAGAAGGAGCACTGGAAGACTGCTGGTCTGCAGAAAAGGATGGCCAGGAGCGCTGACAATCTGAGTCAGAGTAAAGATGCACATAAAATAAGGACAGATGGGGGGGTGGGGGGAGAAAAAAGCTCCAGATAGGCAGCTGAGGAGATGAAGGCATACGTAAAATATAGTATGTTGTACATGACATCTTTAAAAACAAAAGAAAAAATACTGCGGAAAAGACTTTGTATGAAACTCTTGAAGTGTGCATTACATGTTAGCAGAATATTAAATCACCACTAGGGGAGGCATCGTTGTCCCTTCGAACCCATTCTTCATGACAGTGTCACCTGCTGCAAGATATTCCTCCCTACATGCCAGTCCCATTTTGAGGAAAGTGATCTATATGTTTGCCCCTTCCTTCCTGACTTTAGGGTTTCCTCAAGTGTTTCCCTTTCCAAAGTGTACAACCTCATAGGGGTCAGACCCCTCTTGCTCTGGTTCATACTGTTCACATAGTAGCTAGCTCCCAGTCAGATTTCCGTGCTGTCAGGTGGACAGACGAGTACTGCCACCCATGTTTGAAGCTGCCTGACACATCCCATAAAAAGCATTTGAAGCTGCCCACTTCAACCATTTAAGCCAAGTGTCTGCCTCAAGCTGAATTTCTTGGGGAAAATTTTCAGGCAAGCAAGAGGAGTCAATGACGAGAAAGAGACTCAGCAAAACATAACGTTTATGCTATGTTTAGTTCTTTTTAATAGTGTTATCCTTTTAATAACTATTTCATTAAGAAGTGCCTGTGGGACAGAGTGGTATTTTTCAGAATTGTTGCCTCACTTTCATGCAAAGAGAAAAACTCTTAAAATATAAAGGTATTGGTGTTAAAAAAATCTGAAAAAAAGCCTCATTTTGCAAGCGTTCTGTCAGTGCTATGCATGCTCCAGCCACAGCTCTTGGGTCTTTGCTGAACTGATGATGCCAGGAGAAAGGAGGGGAGAAAAGGAGGTGGAAATCTTTGGTTGCACAATTGTACTGGCAGGGAAGCCAGATGGGGGATCCAGGAGTGTGAAGACTTGAATATAATTGGGCAGCCCAAAGACAGAAACAAAATTTACTGAATATGAGAAAGCAGCATATGGATATGTGACTAGAGGCTTTCTGAGGATGAAATCAAAGCTGAATGAGCATCCATTAGTCTTGTACTTCCTAATTTCTTGTTTCTGAGCTTTTGACTTGGCAGCTTCAGTTTTCTGCGTAGGTAATCTTACTCACAAGCAAGTACAAAAACACCCTCTCCTCTTTATTTCTTCGAGTCAGTGTGAGAACAGTGTTAGGTGACCTCTCGGGTTCACTGAGCTCACGCTGCCTGGCTAGAAAATAGAAACTGAACCTATGGTGGCTGGCAAAGCTCCTCTGATATTTCCCCAAGATGAAGGAATTTCTTGTTCATGTGAAACAGGTGACTTCATGGCTCTTGCTGCTTTTCTGAGCTTGTCCTACCATGCTCACCCCCAACAGAGATGCACCGCTTGGAATACAGGAGAAAAGTGAAAACTGGAAAATGGGCAAATCAAGGATTGGTCAGGGGGAGTCAAGGAGATTCAGTTTGTTTTCTGCTTTTTTACCACCTTAATTGCACCTGTGCTCCACCTGGGTTCAGAGGAGAAACTGAACCTTGTATTTTCAGACAATTTAATCCAAGCCTGAGCATCCTTGCACTCAATCACTGAAAAGAAGCCTCTATTTTCTTTAGTGGCTGTAGAGCAGACAACTTGCAGGTGGCTTACAGCACTCTCACTAAATCACAAGAGTTTTTTTGCCCAGTCCTAGCTCTAATCCTAGACTCTTTGGGGAACCCTCAATTGTTAAGAAAGTGCCTAAGCAAGCACATTAGAGACATCACAGGACTACATGGCTGCTTAAGTGATCACAGAATCCAGACAAACAGTAAAATAAATTATTTAATTTATGGGTCCCCATCTGTTCACAAATATCTACAGAGCATTTTTACAGGAACAGATGTGTGTACTTCAGAATGCACAATATTGGAGGTCAAATCTGGAAGTTTTTCCTCCATCCCAATCTATTTGTTTAGAAATTAATTCTCAGCTATATGCTCAGATAACTTAACTACTGGATAAATCATACCTTATTTATATGTACATTATCTTTTTCTATTGGTTATGTATACACGAGCAATTTTTCTCAATAATAAAAAAAACACACCAGAGATCATCTACTTAAATGACTGCTCACTTTTCTCTTGTAAAGAAACCGTTGGTGCAATTGTGACTACAAGTGTGAGAATGTACATTTTTGTCTGTTTTGATCTCCTTGGCTGCAAAAGATTTCTAAGAAACTATACGGCACTAGACACACATGAAAAGCACTGCAAACACTACATGGTCATAAGCTGGCATGCCATAGATAGAATTATTTTCCTCAACTTACCAAGCAATTTTAACATTCCTGTTTGTCCTGTATACTTGTAACAGTTTAGAGAGAGCAGAACACAGATAAAAAAGAAAAAAGATAAGTGTCAGAAGAAATTAGAGAAAATCCTTTTATTGAAAGCTATAGAGCTGATTTTTGAAGTTGCAGTAGTAGGCTGCCTGCAAATCATATTGTCCTTTAATCAGCTTAGAAACTTAATGATGAAAGGTGGGACTTTACAAATCTAAGCATTTGTACAGTTCATTCACTGGATTGTTTTGAAGAAAGGTATCTGTAGACAAAGACTGAGACACAGACTAAACTTAGTACTTGTCCACCCTTTAACAGCTATGTCATTTCTACAACCAGATGCAATTTTCAATCATTCCTTAATAGAGGCCAAGAAAAAGTGGAAAAGCATGCATGTTACAGAACAAGACAAGACAGAAGCATATCAAAAAAGTACATGGAAGGTGAGACTTTCTGCTTGAATTGAACTCTGCCTGGTGCCAGCCCACATTTCTATCTTATTTTAAAGATCATTAAATTTAATCAGCTCAGCCAAATTTATGAGAAAAAAACATAAGTACTTAAGGTATCCATAGTCAATAAAACACACCTTAAAAATTAAACCTCATTCTTGCTGCCAAAATTTGAGCAATACACATTAAAAGCTTCTAATAAAAGTACATTTGTAAAAAAGCCACACTGTAAATTCAGAGTTATTTTGGAAGTTCATTACAGCTAAAGCAACTATAACTAAGCTATTAATTATAAGGTGACTATCAGAGGCCTTTCTTCTTTTTCCTCATACTGTACCATTTTGTACAGTGACAGTTAATACAGATGGATCTACATTCATTTTAAGTACTTCTGCTTTCAAAATTTCATTCACAGCCTACTCCACTGAGCAGATGACAGGAAGGAGCACATGATAGTTTCATATAGCAGACTATGATCAGTGCAGCCAAGATGTGTCAATTCTTTTTGGTTGAAGTACAAGCACAATAGTAACACATCTTGGGTAAATTTCACGTGGAAAAGCTGACAGCTAATCCCTGTAGTTTCAATCAATTGCAGAATTGAGGAATGTATGCACCAGCCTCAGAGACAGTAGCTCTTCTGGCAGGCAGAAATGACAAATAATCTCAGTTTGTCTGCAGTGAAGCATGCTCATTAAAGAAATGGTTGAACCTCATCCAGACGAGCCAGCAAACAAAGTCAAAAAGCAAAGTATTCTTGCTTTAGAATGACAAGAGCTTGTTCTGTCCTCATCCTCTCTCCTACAGATATTAAAGAGGAACTGTGTGTAAATCACTAATAGAAGCCACTACAGCTACTGCCATTTTATAATGGAATTTCTTACCAGAATGTTCATAAGCTTCAAAACTGAAATCAGGTTTCCTGTCCTCCGTCACATGGTCATAAGTGATGTGTGGAACAGTTAACATTCTATCTGGAGAAGAAGGCCCATTGTCCTTGTCTAACTTAAATTTCTTCTTTTTAACCTAAAAACACACGTACATTAAATTACTCAAAGTCACATTTAGTTACATTTTCAGTAGTATCTTCAATAATAATGCAGTCCCCAATGAACTATAACCAGCCAAAACAGTGCCTAATCAATTACGTTTTCATGATGCTACACAGTGCATTTCTAAATAAGATTGACCCCCATCTTGCCAAAACTGGCTAATCACTAGAATTCTGCACACTGCCATTAGCAAATCCCTTGCCTGCAGTAAAAACATCTGCTAGCTCTGTGACAGTTTATATAAATCAAACTATTCTAGAATATCTTCACCATTTTATGGATGCAATACATCATACCTTCAGCAAAAAGCAAATGGATATATTGCTACTGAACTCAGATGAACCTGGGATACTAGGGAAGCTTTTGCACAACATCATCTCCTTCCAGCTTGGGAGTCCTCTGTAATACTCTTACAACAGAGAGGATGAAGTATTACATAATCTAAACATTCTGACAAAGGGGTTTTGTTGCTGTTTTTAAAATTAAAAAAATTCTTAACTTATGGAGTCAGTTGATATGAAAATACTACCATATGTAGGCACAACATGTCTTCACCATAGAAGCTTAGAAAGCCACGAAATCATAGCTAAGAGAAGCAGTAGTTTTGTTGTTTTTTTTTAAAAAAACAATTAAAAGTTACTGTTTTGGAAATAGTAATTTTCTTTTTTTTTTTCCTTTGCTTATAGTTTTTCAAACAACAACAGTAAGTTACTGACTGATGTGCCTAAGTCATTATTGCTCTTTTCCAAGCCCATAGATCCATTAAAAAAGTTAAGATGGGGAACTGAAGTAAATTAAGTTACGGTTTAAAACATTTGTATACTGAAAATCTCAAAACTGAAATGAAAATAAATACTTTGAAACCAAGTAATAATCTGTAAAACAAACACAACAAATAGCCTCTAGAGAGTAAACAAATTCAATCTAATTTAAAAAATGTAAATTACTATAATAGGAAATGTTAGTTACTGGTACCATCACTGATTTCTTCGGTTTTGGACTGGGTGACAGCAAATGATAATTTCTGGCAGGTTTTCGGATGTATATTTTCCATGTAGAAGAGTCTGGGTTTTCTGCTGCATAGCATCTCCATGCAGTCTAGAACAAATGTTTTAAGCAACAGAACAATTGAAGCAATCGGATTTGTAGCTATCTGTACTAAAAAGTAACTTCCAAGTAGCATGTTAGTCATTCTTTATTTAATAGTATTCTTGATTTTCCCTACTGGAAACATAAACTCAGCATGGTTTAGAATCCATATTTAGTAAACAGAAACCACATAGTTTGAACTGGGCAAACCAGAAAGGAAGATCAGTCTTTTCAAGTGCAACTTTTGTTTGCATTAGCAACAAACAAATAGTAAGAGAGAATTCTAGACTGGACTCAAAAGATTGGGTTTAAATTTCTTGCTCTGCCCCAGTTTCCCTCTCTGACCATTCTGCCCATTGCATCCTGTGTTTCAAGCTCCTACTCGGAAAAGAAAAAAAAAAAAAAAAAAAAAAAAAAAAATCATTTTTCCCCGCCCCACAAGAGTACTATCAGAAAAAAAAACCCCAACCAACCAATTGTGATGTGGTCAGTAGGGCTATATTCATACAAAGAAATAAGACCGAGGGCATGAGGGAACAGCACCAATGGTTAACCAGGAGCCAAAAGCCAAAACCAGTCCTCCCTCCTGCCAACCACCAATGATTAAAGTACTATGTTCCAAGACAAAATGGAGGAAAACCAAGCCTAGAAAACAAGACCAATCAGAGACAAAATACTACTGCATTCTCACTTAATTATGTAAATATATCAAAGTTGATTAATAATTAGTCTCCACATTAAAAAGGCAGATCCTCATTTACAGACTACATGAAAAAAGGACACACATACACATACACAAAATCTAAAGTGGGAAAGGCCAGAAAACACTAAAAGGAAGAAACAAAGCAAGGCAGAATGACAAAGGAAAACAGACAGCAGTTGAAAAGTAAAGGATCAGACAATCACCATGTAATTCCCACCACGGTTAATAGGGTACTGGAAGAAACAACTGGCCACTAGAAGATAAGAAGGAATACAGGGAAAAAGTATCACTCATTTCAGCTGTTGTCACCTTGTATTTATTTCATAAAATTCTTGGTTTAAGAATAAACTTTTTGTAAATTATTTGTAGAGCATTTATTAAACTGGGCTTTTAGAAGTCCAAGACTATTAGTAAATCATAATTACCACTATTAAGAACAGGTAGTCAGCAACTCATTGTCTATCCTCCACCCCCCCTTAACATTTCAGATAGAGCCAAGTATAACGTTCTCGATATGCAATCTCAGGCTTCCCAATAATTTGGGGTTGATTTCCCAAAAGAGTCAGTGGGAGCACTAAAAATCCATTCACAGAATCATGGAATGGTTTGGCTTGGAAGGGACCTTAAAGATCATCTCGTTCCAACCCCCCTGCCATGGGCAGGGACACCTTCCAGTAGACCAGGTTGCTCAAAGCCCCATCCAACCTGGCCTTGAACACTGCCAGGGATGGGGCATCCACAGCCTCTCTGGATAACCTGTCCCAGTGCCTCACCACCCTCACAGTGAAGAATTTTTTTCCTAATATCTAATCTACATCTACCCTCTTTCAGTTTAAAACCATTACCCCTCATCCTATCACTGCACTCCTTGATAAAGAGTCCCTCCCCATCTTTCCTGTAGGGAAAGGTACTGGAAGGCTGCTATAAGGTGTCCCCGGAGCCTTCTCTTCTCCTTGCTGAACAACCCCAACTCTCTCAGCCTGTTCTCATAGGAGAGATGCTCCAGCCCCCTGATCATCTTCATGGCCCTCCTCTGGACCCACCCCAACAGGTCCATGACCTTCTTATGCTGGGGGCCCCAGAGCTGAAGGCAGTTCTGCAGGTGGGGTCTCATGAGAGCAGAGTAGAGGAGGAGAATCCCCTCCCTCAACCTGCTGGCCACACTTGTTTTGAGGTGGCCCAGAATGCTATTGGCTTTCTGGGCTGCAAGCAGACATTGCTGGCTCATATTCAGTTTTTCATCCACTAATACCCCCAAGTCCTTCTCCACAGGGCTGCTCTCAACCCACTGATCCCCCAGCCTGTATTTGTGCTCGGGATTGCCCTGACCCATGTGCAGGACCTTGCACTTGGCCTTGTTGAACTTCATGAGGTTCACACAGGCCCATGTCTCAAGCCTGTCAAGGTCCCTCTGGATGGCATCCCTTCCCTCCAGTGTGTTGACCGCAGCACACAGCTTGGTGTTGTCAGCAAACTTGCTGAGGGTGCGCTCAATCCCACTGTCCATGTCACTGACAAAGATATTAAATAATTCTGGTCCCAATACCGACCCCTGAGGAACACCACTTGTCACACGTTTTCCACATTCTTTGCAAAACCGTACCTTTTTCTAACCATGCAATCCAAACGAAACACACTGAGTCTGAAGATTTTTGGCTAATCTCTGGCTATAACCAGAGCCCTAAATTTAAACCTTTTTCACATTAACTCTGGGACTGTTTAGTTTCAAGCATAAACTTTACAGTTAGCTACTGTTTCCATAAAGAGCCTGACCTGGAAATCCACATTCACTCATGAAGCTAGAGAAATAAGTCATATGAGAACACAAAAATGATACAGCTTAGGTGCACATCTAGATTTCTTTTAAATTTGATCCCTATGCTTCTAAAGCTACATGCAGATACTGAGTGAGGGAAGAAAAGCTGGAAAAAGCTAGAATGAAACAATATTAATACTTCTCCAGGGTGAAAAGCTGGCTCCACTGAAGTAAAGGATAAAATGTCATTGACCTTACTGATGCTGAACTGCAACTGTATTTCTAACAGAGTGGATCAAAATTTTTCTTCCTGTATGTTATCCTACATGAAAAAAAAAGATTTTGCAGAATCCCAGTGGTTCCCAGCCACCTATCCTGGAGCTGAAAAATTCAGACAAGATTTTCCTATTTAACATTCTGACTTAATTCTCCTAAATTTGAGATTTTTTAAGAATTTATTTGTCCCAACAAAAATAAGCATATTTGACATTTGTCTTTACAAGCAACAATATATTTTTTAAAAGTACAATTTTACATGAAGCCTCCTCTCTTTTTTTCTCTACTGCAAGCATAGTATTTCATAATATTTTCCCCAGGTAAATTGTTCAATAATTTTTCAATAACTACACAATAGCCTTCAGTTTTGATTTTAACCAGCTGAATTAAACAGTTTGTACAGATTTGGGAGGGAACTTTTCTGCTTATTAGCTTACATTAAAGGTGGGATTTCCAAAACAGTTTGAAAGACGTGCATCTGTAACTCCTATACAATTTTTAATGGGAATCAGGCACGAAAATACTACCAACAGTTTTGAAAAAAACTGTAAATGGAAAGAAATTATAGTATGCAAAATACAGGAACTCGGTACCTGTATGAGAGAGGCAGCAGCTGGAATTTGACGGTTGAAATGCTTCTGTCGTTGTTTCTGTTGTACCTTTAGGGCAAAGCCTGAACCAAGAATTCCCTGTGGGAAGAAAGAAAACACAGATCTAATTTTTTTTAAGGGGGAAAAAACCCACACATAAGCTTGCCAAATTATGTTGTATTAATAAACTTCTATTCAGCATCATAAAACCCAACTAATTATTTAGAGGAAATGACTTAATACTGTTAAGTTTTTAAACTCAGTATTACTTGTTGAAACAAACTATGAATGCTATCATGCCCTGATCCAAACTCTATTTAAGTCAGCTGGACTCAAACACTAAAGAGCGAGCAGAAATGATATTTCATACCCTCTAAAAGCCTCATAAAAGCTTGTGCAGGGGAACGACAGAAGAGGGAGAAATATTAACCTGATGTGCTTAACTTCATTTTTATGAGAAATAAAGCTTTGGCATGGCATGATTCAGGTCACAAGAAAGACCTTTTAACTGTAGTATGGTAATTTCTATTTCCATATGTTAACGCATGCTGGGAGGGGAGGACAAAGAAGAGGAAAAGGAATATTACAAAATGGTCAGGATTTCAGCAAGTTCAACACAAGGCCATCTAATCCACTCTCAGGACAAAGGATATGGACTAATGGCACAGGATGGCATACAACCCAGAATGGCCTCCAAACGTAGTATAATAATAAAGTCCAAAATTAAGTATAGAGGGAGTCATTTATGCAGTCATTTCCATAGCTATAGACATATTTAACAGAGGTTTTAGTAACACACATGAAATGACATCTTCTATAAATCAGCTTACATGACTACACCTGCTCAAAAAAGTGTAATTCATCTTCTCCATATGGTAGTCAAGGTGTCAGAGCAGCCAGTGATCTTGGCTCAACCTCTAAGAACAGTATTAATCATCAAGTGTTTTGAAAGAACAGGAAAGGCCCTTCCTATTATGTTCGTTTAGCAAAGATCAAAGAGTTAATGATGCTCAAACATCACTTATTTGGGAAATGAAGGATCGTTGCTAGATCCAGAACCCATACCAGTTGTGTTTAGCCACAATTACTTTTGACTGTGATCTCAGCCAGTTCCCCTTATTTAAAACAGCAACAAGGCAGCGTGCAGTAGTTACTACCTATCAACTATTTACTGCTAGAGCTTCAAACCCTAAATTTCCCCCATGGGCCAACTCACAAGAACAACTTAATTCGGTAATAAAATCACACAGATAAAGGGGTGTGTGGTGGTGTTTTACTTCTACAAACGACTAGGGAAATCTGATAGGTAAACCTAAAAGCATTGCTGTGAAGGTGGGGCTGCTACACAATTATTTATAAAACATCTTTGCTCGCATTCAAGTCTGAGGGGAAAAAAAAAAAAAACAACCCACAACTCTTCAGTCAAAATAGTAGCTTTTGGCATTTTTTCTTACAAATCATTTCATTTACCAGATCTCCCTTCTAAACAAGGAATAAACGTGAAAGAGATTAGAATGAGGAGGGGGGGAAGAATATGCTTTAAAGGCAAACTGATGCTGGAGAGTCTAAAAATCTACACTTAATTACCCTCCTCTGCAAAAGATTGCATACCTTTAAAGTAAGCAACAAATTTTGAAAAGCCACTGGAGTTTTAATAGCTACTGTTTCACATCATGAAGAATTTTTGTGACGGTACTGGAGTAAAAGTATTCTTCTCATCCATCCTGTACTTATCCCCACCACTTCCCTGCCACAACTACACTAGCATCTGCTAACACAACTGTTCGCGTCACTGAACTGAAAAACTTGCTGAAAAATAAACATCTTAACAGCACATTTCAGGTGGCACAAATGTTGTAACAGCACAGTTCAGGAGTAAAGCTAAATTTGTGAAAAAAATACCCTTAACTACCATTAGCACTAAACATTTGGGGTTTTCAAACCACAGTCCAGGTTTTGCTGATTTTGACTTTACCCTTGGTACTCAAGTGCCTTGTTTCTTGTCAGAAAGTCCCTGGGAACCCAATTTCAGTGCAAACAAATTGCTGTAACAACTTTAAAAGCTCAGCCCTATGTCACTTTTGGAAATAGGACTTTGGCCATGGACAGACACTAATTTGGCAAAGAGCTGCATCAGTGTCCCTGGCTGCTTATTGTTGTCTCTCTGCCAGTGACATCTTTTCAGCAGCTTTGCTAGAAGGATGTATGAGAACTCTACAGTTCGCCCTGGACCTAATCAGTTGAGTAAAATATGAGTGAATGCCTTAAAAAGCCACAAGATCACTAAGTCACTGAGTCCAGAAGTAATTAGCATGAGAAATAATTTCCTTTACCCTTCTGAGATGGGCAGAATAAGTACTTTGAATTAAATACCTTTTTCTCAAACACATACTAAATCTAGTGTTGCATACAATAAACACTGCATATGCAATTTTTTTTGGTACTTCTAGAAGCTCTTTTGCTACTACAATCTATATATATTTTAACTACAATGTAGAAGTTTAATACAAATCTTTCATAATATCAGGTTAAATGAAAGGTTAAAGAATGAATAACAAAATTTTCCTCTGATGACTAATGAGTCAACACCAAATTGCCAGCAAAAGCACAAGATAACCTACCGCAGGTAGTGCAAAAAATGAAATTGCAAATACTGAAAAACAAGATGCAATCGTCTTTCCTATCCAGGTCTGAGGCACTTTATCCCCATAGCCAATAGTTGTAACAGTCACCTGTAAAGAGAAATACATAGCACATTACAGCAAGTATCAATATGGTCATTATGGGTTGTTGTTCTTTCTTCCTTTTTTATTTATTTTAAAGAAACACTGGTTGCATTCCTAACTCTCCCAGTGACAGTCTGTGTGACATTAATGAAGGTAACTCTCCTCTCCAGGTTTGCTTCCCCATCTGTAATAGATGGGAAAAGGTACAGGAAATTGAATTACAGTAAAATACATGCTTAAAATCTTGTAAAGTAAAACCATTAAGTCTTCATGGCTGAGGCAACTATACGGCATATGAAGTTACTGGGATATGGGTTGCCTGCCCACATCATACACTTTCCTTAGGGGGAAGCTGCCAACAGTTCTGAATTGCTCATTTTCTTTATGGGCAGGAGATGTTTGCTGAGAGGGCTGTTGCATAGGAAGAACATACATATACTGTAACCATGGACTATGACTGGGGTCAGACATGAAGTATTCTAGAGAATAATATTGGTATAAATAGCAAGAGAAGCTGAAAATTTTCCATGCAGTAAAGGTCCTGAAAACTTAGTCTAACAAATCACTAATTCGTATAATACATCAAGAGCAAGAACAGATAATTTAATGCACGCATGCAGGAAACATCTGTCGAGTCTGGGTTTCAAAACACTGAAGTAAAGATTACCACCACACTGATGTAGCATAACAAGGCTTAATAAGTCATTATTTGCATGAGCTCAAGGAAAGAATGGATTTGTTTGAAGCAGAAGGATACATTTGGCACCTGAGAGCAATTTAAATTCACCTATGTCACAAGCTATTTCTGAATTTGGAAATTATGAGAGATTTTTATCTGTGACTTTGAAGAAGGCTAACCAAATCAGAGCATGTGAAACCACATGAAGCTCTCAAGCAGTTGAAGCACACCTCAACTGCTGGCTGTTCAGGTTTTCTTCTGACAGTATGGGCTTCAGCTGTCCAGGACACAGAGGATGGTTAGTCCCAGACAGTAATATACACAGGCCATCCCCACCTTGTCCTGCATTTGCTCCTAGTTCACCTGTCTGCTGTAATGCATACTACCCAGCGATTGCAGAAATGCAGGCAATACCTAGGGCAGCATCTCTAGGGAAGGAGAGAAGGGGAGGGCAGATTTACAGAGGCAAGATGTTTGTTAAGGGGGTGAAGGGATGGAGAACCTGGATTTGGGGAAACAAAAGGTCATGAAAGGTGCTTCAGGAAAAGTGTGGCTATTGGCCACTTCAATAATTGTCCGTTCCTACTAAAAGATGAGACACCAGAGGGAAATCCTGTGGATGTAAGTTCTGACCTGAGCTGTACCTCAGAAACACACAAAGCAAGCCATCCATACTCAAACTGCCCACCTTCTAAGCAATGTCATTATGTGTCTGTCAAAGACATGACAAAGGGACAGTTCTAGCTGCTTGACATGTTGATGTTAAAAGTTTAGTGCAAGTTGCTGATACTCAAAACAGTCAAGTATTAGCATTTAATTTTTAATACAAGTTTTTAAAATGTGGCTTATTTCTAAAACTGTTTCGTATCCTACAAAAGTATTTTAAGAATCAGCAAGGTGAATTAAGTACCCAAGTGCCTTTGCCTGTATTCCTGAAGACATTGTTGAAACACCACCTTAATTCAGGGCCTGATGAGGCACTGAAGGGATGACATTATCTCCTTACCTGCATAAGAGGGTCAGTTTAAAAAAAATCCTAAATTGTAATTAGAATTTCCTGTTCAAAATATATAGTATAAAAAAGGAAATATAATTATGGGAATAGTGATGGCCTCCAATGCCTTCTTCCACAAAAGATTGTACGAGAAGATAGTGGGTTATGCTTCAGTTTTTGAAAAGATTTACAAATTGTCATTGAAAATTTTTATCAACTATTCTGTTACAACCTTAATATCATGTTGAAATAGATACATTAACGAGAAATGTGAAAAGAAATAGGTACTTTTGAGCTGACTGAAGTATAACTGAAGAAAAATTCATACACAACTAAGAAGTATTTGTCACCCCTTTCCCACAACCCCCCTGCCCACCCCTTCCGAATTGGTCCATATGAAGCATCACTGACACAAGAAAAGTATTTTCTGTGCTGTTTGTTTAGGACTTTTTGTATTTTTTTTTTAATTTTGGAAACTGGGTTGCATATCAAAGTGTGTGTTTAACATTTTTCTCTGCCCTCATAACTAATCCATCTACAAATGCATTGTATTCCAAAATTACATTTTCTTTTTTTCCCCAAGATATGTGCTGTTGAAACCTTACATGCCAAGTTTCTGCCCTAAATGAAATTTTACAGCCAGATTATAACCCCCTAAAGAGTACAATACTAATTTTACAGTTGTAAAATAGGATTTTATTATGGAAATACTGACTCAACTTCTACTCTAGCATAGTAAATATGTTGGCATAATGAAATTAAATTGATACAAGAGCTCACACATTAAAATTTCATTGAAAAGCAGCATGTAAAACTAATTGTTTTAATTAGGAACAAAATCATATTCATCCATTGACTATTTCAGAACTTTGATCTGATGTACATCACCACAGGCTTTGGTATTAAGACTAATCTTGTTCCTATTAAATACGCATCAATAGTCTGAAGCAAAAATCCACACAGCAAGAAGAAATAGTTAGTCAGCACTGAATAGGGAAGGGATTTTATTCAAGGCTATCAGGCTAAAGTGAGCACAGCAAACTAATCAGGTGAGTAACAATGCTCTGTTGATGAAATTCTTTGTGTGCCTTGCAAAAATTTGGATAAACAGCTACAAAATACAAGAACACATGATTAAAAAGGCAGACATCACAGGACTGAGGGAGCAAACACAAACTAAAAGATTAAAAAAGCCAAGCGTTAAAGCAAACACGGGAAAGTCACCTTCTAGAAAATACCTTAACAACTTTGTTTCTAAATTTGCAGCACTGCAACTTCAAAAGCAATTGCACTAGGTATTGTTTTCCATACCAAATACCACTCAGAATTTTCTGACCCACTCGCAATACCCACCTTGATTAAATCAAGTAATACAAGAACAACATCCAGTGATATACCAGAAACATCAACTGGTTCCCTAATTTCTTTGCAACTGAGGTCTAGTAAATTGCAAAATGGTTTGAATGCTCTCCTGTGCGCCTAAGTGTAACGAACACATTAGAAGCCTTTTTACGGCTTGACATCTTATTCAGTCAGCTGCATTCATACAAGCTGAATATAAAGTAGAATCTTTCCAAGTTGCTGAAATCAATGCAGCACAAGTGCAAACAGATTAGACAGTCATGCTTTTATTTTACTGTGAAGTATGCAATCTATATAAACCTAAAAAAACCCCCAGCGATCTTTCGATATTTTGGATTCTTTTCCAAATGACAATATTTTTCTCCCTTGTGCATGTAAGGATGTTAGCAATAAGAACCGATTCACACAACAGAAATTCCACTTTCTGCTGCCAATCACCTCTATGTACATTGCAACACTCCAAGAAGATTCAAGTTACATCCTTCAGATGAACAAGTTAAGAGACTATGTTCTACAGGACACAAATGTTTTGAAACATTGGAATTAAAATTGTAATCCAAAGCTGAAGAATGGATTCCTTGTCACTACTATTACAAACATTTAAAGGGGAAGTTTAGATTATTTTTCTCCTTAAAGTTTTGAAGTCATTTCCATAGTTATCATTGTAGGCTCACACCATCATTCTCGATGAAGTTGAAGTACATAACTGAGACACAATCACATCTGAAGGGCACTGAAATACTTCTAATAACTTAGGATATGAAATGAAATGGAACTACACAACCAAACTGCAAAAAGAACAAACAGAATACATTAACTTCAGTGTCATGTCTCTCAAATAGTAGATCCTCAGAGCTGCCTAGCCATCCCTCTTGGATCTTAGTTTAATGCCTCCTCAAGGTGTCATTTTCAGCCATCCGTCAGTTCTGACCAAATGACTGGCTGCTCTAAACCTCCTAATCAAATGGTGGCCCAAACTAAACATCGCCACTTGTGAGATTTCAAAGATAAAACTAGAAGAGTCTTAAAAAATAACCAACTGATGAAAACTAAGTTGAAGTGCTGAGCCTACCTAAATTTGCAAAGTCTGTTCTGTGCAATGAAAAAAGGGACTACAGCAGCTTTAACCAAGTCAGTAAGAATACAAAGGTTGAAGGGATTTTCTGGTTGCTACTCCTAGTTTCTGGCTACTTCAAGTCAGCCACGTTATGTCACCTCGTTCACTATCTCTTGAAAATGCAACTCCACCTGAAAATTAATTGGCTTTCCCCTCACTGTACCTGTTGGGATGTTATTCCAGAACCTCACATTTTTAATGGTACCAGACATTCTTGTAGGCTCCTGTCTTCATTTCTGAAAGATGGGATTTCAGCCTTGTTTTTCTGTTCCACTGTTTCACGGTCTCAGTTTGTCCACCTCCCCTTTTCTCTTGCCCCACTCCTGCAGTACAGCATGCTGCAAAGGCCGCTGAATCCCTTTCTCAGTGTGTTCAGCCTCAAAAATAAAAGCTGTTTTCACTTGCTCTTGTAAAATAGTCTATTAATCCCCTGGATCACCATGGCAGTAGTTCTCAAGGATGACATGATACAGGACATAAACTTGCATAAAAATAGTGAGAACTGTTCATTATTAGTGAAGGTATAGGCAAAGTGTTCTGGTTCATCCGAGCTTTTTTTTTTTTTCCTTCCCCCTAAAAGCACGCTACCAAAATACAAAGGTAACTGAATTAGGCAAACATAGTCCAGCAAAAAGACTTAAAACCTCCCAGGAAGATGGTTATTTGATCATTTTTTTAATTTGATCATTGCTATGATCATTTTTACTTGGAGTGAACAGACAATTTTAGGTCTGAACTCAGTAGTAAACATATACATGGACACAAGCAATAAAACTCATAGGAGATCCAGCAGCTTTGTATCCTAGCCTGATAATTAATCCATCATCAGTTGTTTAAAGTTTACAGTACAGCGA